GCCTCTGGTAGGGTGTTGCCCACCCTCCAGGGGGAGCTGGCTGAGCACGAGGGAGCACGGTGGATGCTCAGCTGTGTATGCACTCGGAACAGGAACAAGTCAGAGTCCGAGCTTGGTTTGACGGGTAGGGATGGGCCAAAATGTGAGCACCCCAGAGCTGGGGCAGGAACAGTGCAGGTAAAAGAGGCCCTGGGAGCCAGTAAGAGAACACGAGGCCAGAGGCACCTTCCGTCCTCAAGTGGGGGTCTCAGCAGCCCCAGAGCAGCATGCAGAGTCACAGCAGGTCCTATAGAACTTCCTAGAAGCTTCTGGAGTTGTGGAGGCACAGCATGGGGAAGGATTGGACAGGAGCCACCCAATCCCCTTGCGATGCAGATGAGGCCCAAGGGAAGGCAGACGACAGGGCCAGGTCACACAGCAGGCAGCCGGGGCATCACTGCCCAGGCCTTCTCCTCTCGTTGGCCCAGAGCCCCAGCCTCCTCCAACCCCAGGATGTTGCCAAAACACCTCTGCTCCATCCAGGTCCTGCGGCCCCAACACGTTCTCCTGGCCTGGCTCCCAGGCTGCTTAACCACCCCAGGGCCCCACCGTCAGCCTCCTTCCTGCCCTGCACTCCGGGAAGGGTGCCCGGCCAGGGCCTGCCATGAGAAGACGGACAGAGACCTGCCATCTTGAGGACACATCCAAGACCAGACCACTGAGCCCTCTGCTACTGCCCTCCTGTGGGGTGTCCCCCATCCTGCCTAGCCAAGCAGGAGGCGAGAGAGGTAGAAGGAAGTATGGAAAGAAGAAATCGTTCTTGAAGCAAACGAGAAGTGTGCACGCGTCTGCGCGAGGGCCCACGTGCCCGTGGGAGGACCTGCTTATCCTGGAAGGAGACGGGCCGGCCCAGTGGCAGGGGCTGGACAGACTCATTAGACACCACACCCGCAGGGGGCTTCCAGGGACTGGCTGCTTGGCCCTCACGTGGCCCAGCGGCTGACACCCCCTACCTCACTCACTGCTGCCCGTGTGCAAAAGGGCAGAATGAAATGTCTTGAAATCCTCCTGAAACAAGTTTCCAGTAAAGCCCACACTGCACCCATTTCCTCCTTTCACAAAGGTTTATTGGGCTCCGCCCGGCCGGGCTCAGGTTAGTCACTGCGGAGGATCGCGGGCTGGCCTGGGAGGAGCAGGGCCAGAGCAGCAGAGGCGCAGACTGGCGTGACACACGCCCCTGCTGAGGCTGCAGCAGCGGAGGGCACCAGAGGGCGCCGGAGGGCACGAGGGGAGGGCTGGGCCCAGGCAGAGGTGAAGGCAGCAGATGAGGAGGAATCAGAGTTACCTGGGGAGGGAGAAGCGCAGAGGGAACAGCAAGAGTGGAGGCTCAGAGGCAGGAAAGTGGCGGGGAATTCCCAGAGCATCAAGAGGCCAGTGGAGGAGAAAGCGAGACAAGGGTCAGTGGCCAAGGAGGGCTGAGGCCCAGGCAGCCAGGGCACCATGAGGCTGGGCAAGGGCACAGGCAGCACACACCTGCAGTTCTGCCACACTCTCCACCAGGTGTGAGGGCTGGCCCATCTCCTCCCGCAGGGGGGCCCAGCACCAACCTCTCTGGGCTCCAGGAGTTGCTCTGCCAAGGAGATAGAGGCTATGCCCACCACACACCCACACACCCAGCCCCACACAGGGCAATCCCAGGGAGGGGACAGAGCCTGGGCAAGCCCTCCCAGCCCCGCCTTTCACAGGGAGACACCCCCTGAGGCTGGGCCGGGAAGCAGGCAGGCCGCCCCTCCCCCAGGCTCCTGTCCCCTCCCCCAGCCCCTCTCTGAGTTGCTCCTGGACACCAAATGGACCCAGTTCAATTTGTCCTTCCTTTCCTTTCCTCTGCCCGCCCCCTGCTGGAGCTGTGAGAGGAAAGGGGGCAGGCCTCACCAGGCCTGTGGCATGGGGACCAGCCCCAGCTCCCACTCTGGTCTCCCCGGGGCAGAGCCTGCCAAGCCCACTGGGGCCAGGCCTCTAGGTGAGGACTGGTGCTCCCCCAAGTTCTAGGGGGGTCTTGGCCTTAGGCCAAGCCTCTCACTGCTGACCCCCAGGGACAGACAGGTCCAGACAGGATGGGCAGCTGGTGGGAAGGGCCAGGACTAAGGTGGGAGGGTGGTTCTGCCCTAGAGATGGGGGACAGGGGCTGCTTGGGGAAGAGAGAGGGTTTGGGAGAAAGAGAAGAGAGGGAGGCAGGAGCATGGTGGAGAGATGGAGTCTGCAGTGAGAGTCACCAAGCCAGATCTGTGTCCCAGAGGCCAGGACCACCTGGACCTGGGGTCTGCCCTCACCTGCACAGATGGTCCTGAGCACCTTGACCGATGTTCTGGAATCCGGAGGTGTGGGGCGGAGGCTGTCAGCCCAAACAGCAGAAGCAGATCCCCCAGAGCAGCTGGCGGCCCTAAGGACAAGCGCGGCTCTCCTGAGCTCGGGCTGGAGGCAGCGTGGGCAGGTGCTGTTGGTGGGCCGCACCAGCAGAGGAGTAGAGGGGTCAGTCAGTCTCACAGCTGCCCAGACCACTCCTTCCACAAACGCACAACCTCCACCGGACCCCAGGCAGCACGCAGGTTCTCCCAGCCCAAGGTGGCTTTTTCATTCTCTGACACTAAATTTGGGAAGAGCAGGGGCGGGGCACAGCCGCATGGCTCTGTCCCAGCTCCTGTGGGGGTGGGGGCAGGACGCTGGTCCTAGACTGGCACCCTCAGGAATCAAGGAATCAGGGCCTGAGGGTTCCTCCAAAACAGCTGGTACTCCCTTTGCCCCTACCCAGGAGGGGGCAACCCCAGGCCCCCAAACCTCCCCTCAAGAGACTTGCCAAGTAGGAGGTGGCTCTCCCCAGACCCTCCCCCCAAATGAGAGGCAAGACAAGAAAACAATTTGCTAACTCAGAGGTGCCCTGCGGGAGGGGGCAGACAAGTGGGACCTCCTCCCCCCTCCAGCCTGGTTTGACTCAGGGAGAACTCCCTAACCCACCTGAAAGACCCCTACCCAGCGGGGTGAGGGGCAATGAGCGCGCTGAGAAGAGCGAGGCCCAGGCTGGCCTTCCTCTGCGGGGAGTTTCCGGGCTGGGTAGCCCCCGGCGCCCCCGCCCCAGGCAGCAGAGAAATCGCCCACCGGGAGAAAGAAAGGGGGCTGCTTAACGCCACCCCCGCCTTCCACTCAGCGTCTTGACCTGCTGGAGCCAGGGGTCCAGCGGGAAGCTCACCGAGCAGAGGGTCCCGCCAGGCTGTGAAACCCGGAGGTGAGGACCCCAGCACAAGGCGAGGCGTCTACCCCGGCGCCCGCTGGGTCGCGCTGGGTCCTGGGTGGGGGCTCCTTGTCCTGCGGTTGACTTCTCCGGACTTGTTCCCTCGTCGCCGCCACCGCACCGGACCGATTCGCCCTCGCCCTATCCCGCCCAGCGAGCTCCCACTGCGGCCGGGACGCGAGCGCTGTCTCCGTCCCGGGAAGAAGTTAGGCGGCCGGGGCTGGCGGCGCACGGGACGCTGGCGGCGGTGGCGCTGGACTTGGGCTCCGCCACCGCCGCCCCGGACAAGTGCCCGCGATTGCGAGGGCGTCCCTGGCGGCTCGACTCCCCAGACGGGTACAAATCGCTCCCGACAGGACTCAGGCCTCGCCCAGGAGGGCAAGTAGGGCCGAAGCGAGACTTGCTCCCGGCTTCGGGGACCCCAGGTCAAGGCATCTCGCCGCCCCGCCGCCCCTAAGCCCAAGTCGCCGACCCCGGGCCGCGCGCTGCGAGGACTAAGAAGGTCTCGGACGCGGCGGCAGGGCCCACCAGGGCCCCCCGGAGTTGGGGAGTTGCCCCGCATCCCTAACAGCCTCAGCACACATCCCCCAGTTGCAAGTACGCACTTTACGCGTCCGGGCGCCGCCGCGGTGAGTCGGGCCGCAGCGCTCGGGGTCGGCGAAGGTGGCTCAGCTCGGGCGCTCCAGTCTCGACGTTCCCGGGGCAGAGAGCAACGTCCGGGGACGCACGGGACGGGTGCGCCCGGCGGCCGGGGCCGCGCCGTGCGAGACGAGCGGCGAGAGGGGAGCGCTCCGGCGTTCAGGCAACAGCTACCCCTAGTGGGAGAGCCGCCCGGGGCCGCCGCCGCCCCGCGCCCGCTGCCCCGCGCCCCGCGCCCCGCGGCGCCCCGCGCCCGCTGCGCTCCCGGGTCCCCTGCGCGCAAGGAAGGCGCTGCTTTCCCCAGCGCTCCCCGTCTCCGGCGCTGGGCGCCGGCCGGCCCGCGGTCCCTACCCTCCGCACCTCCCCGCTGCGCCCCGGAGGCTGCCGACCTGAGAACAGCGGCGCCGAGTAGGGGCGCGATGGGACGGGGCGGGCGCGGCCGGGGCTGCGCGGGCTGGGGCGGCGCGCGGCGGCCTCGGGCAGCGGCGGGGGGCGCCGAGCGCGGTGTGCGTGGCGGGGCGGTGCGGGGGGCGGCCGTGTGCGAGGCGCGAGTGTGAGCGCGCGCGGGAGGCGAGCGGGCGGGCGGGCTCCTGGAGGCGAGCGGCGCCCGCGGGCGAGCCGGGAAGGCGGCGGGGGCCCAAAGTTGCCTCCTCGCTGGCCCGCGTCCCCGGCGGGGCGGGAGCCGGGGCCAGCGAAGCGGCGGCCGCGGACCTGGACTCCCGCGGCACCTGGGCAGCGGCCCCGCAGGAGCAGCAGCGGCGGGGGCGGCGTTGGCGGCGGCGCGCGGGAAGCGAACCGGAGCTCTGGAGCGGCGCGGCGGCCGCCGGGGAGCTCCGCTCAGGTGCGCGGCGAGAGGGGCGCGGCAGGGGCCAGGCCGCCGGGACCAGGGCCGCGCCAGCGCTCGCACCAGCCGGAGGTCTTGCACAGCGGACGCCTGGGTCCCTGGTCCAGCTCCCCGTCCCGGGCGGCAGCCGTGGCAGCCGTGGCCGGGGTCCCCCGCCCCCGAGAGCTGGCTCCGGGGCCCGGCCCCGCCCCCGCCAGCCCCCGGCCCGGCCGCCCCGCCCCCCGGCCGCCGATTTCTAAGGCATTGGCTGCGCTGCTGGGTGATCCCTCCGGGCTCAAGTTGCAAGGGGGCGGGCCCAGGCCGGAGGTGGAGTCTCCCGCCAATTGAAGCCTCGGCTATAAATCGAGCTCCCGCACAGCCGAAGCCCAGATGCCTTGCCAGGCCGCCCCGCGGTTGGTGGTGGGAGAGGGCAACGGGTCCCAGGGGGCTTTGGGGGCGGCAGCCACCATGCTCCGCTCCCTGCTGCTTCACTCCCTGAGGCTCTGCGCCCAGACCGCCTCGTGCCTCGTGCTCTTCCCGCGCTTCCTCGGCACCGCCTTCATGCTCTGGCTCCTCGACTTCCTGTGCATCCGCAAGCATTTCCTGAGCCGCCAGCGCCGGGGTGGACCCGAACCTGAAGTGGAGCTCAACTGTGATGGCGAGGAGGTGCCCCCCGACGACCCGCCTATCTGCGTGTCCGACGACAACCGCCTGTGCACCCTGGCGTCGCTGAAGGCGGTGTGGTACGGCCAGAAGTTGGATTTCTTCAAGCAGGCGCACGAGGGCGGTCCGGCACCCAACTCCGAGGTGGTCCTGCCCGACGGCTTCCAGAACCAGCATATCCTCGATTATGCGCGAGGAAACCGCCCGCTGGTGCTCAATTTCGGCAGCTGCACCTGACCACCGTTCATGGCGCGCATGAGCGCCTTCCGGCGCCTGGTCACCAAGTACCAGCGCGACGTCGACTTCCTCATCATCTACATCGAGGAAGCGCATCCCTCCGACGGCTGGGTCACCACAGACTCCCCCTACATCATCCCGCAGCACCGAAGCCTGGAGGACCGGGTCAGCGCAGCTCGGGTACTGCAGCAAGGAGCGCCCGGCTGCTCCCTTGTCCTCGACACCATGGCCAACTCCAGCAGCTCAGCCTACGGCGCCTACTTCGAGCGCCTTTACGTCATCCAAAGTGGCACCATTATGTACCAGGGCGGCCGCGGTCCAGACGGCTACCAGGTCTCCGAGCTGCGCACCTGGCTGGAGCGCTATGATGAGCAGCTGCGCGGAGCTCAGCCCCGTTGAGTGTAAACAACCAATGGACAATTGACTGAACTTGGCTGCCATGCCTTCGAGCCTTGGAGGCCCACGTGCAAACACCCCAAACGAAGTCGAGCTTGGTGAGGGCCCAGTGACACAGATGTGCTGCGTCACGGATCGCAGGCTGAGTCTGCACCCTCAGCCAAGCCACCTGAAGACTCTTCCCCAGACTCTGCTTCTGTGACTGTCCTTCGCCTGTACCTCCCTGGCTCGCTCTAAACCCCCTGCTGAGTGCAGATGTGGCGACAGCTTTGCCGTGTGCCCCTGGACTTGCCCCCACAGAGGCCCCTGCCGTGCTGTCTCACACCCCTCCCCCAGAGAGAAGAGCCAGCGAGCCTTTAGCCAGGCGCAGCGGCCCCGCACAAAGAGACTTTGGCTGCGCCCGCGCCCTGAGCGCAGCTGGGTTCCAGCAGCGTGTGCGCCGCTCGCCCTAGTTGCCTGGCACCCACACCTGTCGCGCGCCGGGAGAGGATGCCCTGCTGCTTTTGTGTCTGTTTCTTGTCCCTGAGTTGGGGGAGGGGGCTTGGGATGGGGAAGGGTGGGCAGGGTTATTTTCCCCCCTTATTTTGGGTGCTCTCGAGCCCCACTGCTGATGACGAACTGACTCTAACTGGTCTTGACCACGAGCTGGTTCTGAATTGCAGGGGGCTCGCAGCAGTGCCTAAAGGGAGAGGGGGAAAGTGCTCTGGGATTCCGTGAGGAATCCAGCAGAAACGGGGTGGGGGTGGGGGGGTTCGGGACCAGAGGAAGAAGACTGGAGAGGCATTGGCGAGGTTCGCAGCGCCCCAGGGAGAGAGAGGAGGCTGGGGCTCCTGGGAAACGGGGTTTGGGTGGCGGAGTCGGGGGAAGGGAGATGGGGGGAGAGCTTGGGGACCCCGAGTGAGGGGCCTCCTAGGCAGAACTGCCAAGTGTGGGGCTAGGAGGTGGGGAGCCCGTGATTCGAAGGCCATTTGGTGAGTGTTTTGTTGGAAATATTCCTTGTATGTAAACTTCTTTACGCTACAGTAATAAAGGCTTGAAGTAAACGGCATTCAGGTTGCCTTCGGTCCCTGTATTTCTTCCCTCTGAATAGTGGCAGGAATTAAACACAAACCTCTCCCTCACGTCCCCATAGTGACCCTGGGGGGAAGGGTGGCGACAAGGAGCCGACGGGGGCTGGGGCGCGGGAGGCGGAGGCAAAGGTAGGGGTCTGCAGCGGTGCCCGGGGCGCACACATGCACGCACACACCTGGGGTGGGGAATGTGGGGTCGGAAGAAGAGTGAAGAAGCCGAGCCGGGAGGAGTCCGGGAGCGAGGTGGGAGAGGCATGGGGGTCCTCGCTTGCTGCCGGGCGCGCGCGCGCACGCACGTACATTCAGTGACAGCTGCCCCTGCAGCCGCCCGTCTAACATCTCCGAGCATCCGACGGTGTGGGGGAGGGGGGGAG